ACTTTCATTCACAGCTTCCTTGGGGTGACTGGCGCCATGGTGTCGTCACACCATCTCCAGATCCTGTCTTTCATCTGCCTTGGCTCTTGCGCCAGAATGGGTGACCTTGCAGCGGACGAGTCAATGAGGGTGGAAGATAAGGGGCAGGTTGCCCAGGTTGCGCAGGCAGCTAAACCCCTAGTGCCGGTAAAGGACACCTATGGCCTATGGATGAGCTCTTCCGCGAATGAAAAGTTTTCCGGCACGCTCCTGCGTTGCGGGGGCGTCTTTGGCGACGTGTGCGTGAGTTTGGACAGGCATGATGAAACGCCACTTCATATTTGCCAGGCCGGTGGCACAGATGTTGTGTGCATGGGAAAATGGAACATCTGGCGCAGCACCGGCAAGGGCCTCCAGATGCAGACCCATCATCATCAGATGTGGTGGGACAAGCTGCCTTCCAATCCAGAAGAAGTCTTGGAGGAGATGTTTATGAAGCACGGCCCGCAACAACATGACACTGAGCACTAGCTGTGGAATCTATGGTGCCCTCCCTTGTGCCTGCAATTTACTCGATTATGCTTACTTACCGAACAGACATTTCTGATATGTTCCCTCTCCGTCAGAGGTATTTGCCTGGATTGATTAGAAGCTTCATTTTCATAAGTATCCCGACAAGGACGCTACTGCGGATTCCAGATAAGGTTTTCTGACAAAGACCTTCAGTCAAGCTCACTGCTAAGCCTGTAGACTGGCCTGCCGCCCATGCTCAGGGTACTAATGACCTCGGTTCTCGTTGTCGGATCTATCTGTGGCCGTGTCGTGGGCCACAAGTTAAAAGTCGGGATGGACCGTCGATCGCCATCCTCACAACTGTCTTGGAGTTAGGAGCTTTGCAGGCACGAGGCCATTTGGGGTCGCCATGATAAAGTAGAGTGGAATGGGGTGGGGTGGAACAGAGCGGTGTGGAGTGGAAAGTGAAGCGGATCGTGGGGTAGAGAATGGCCTGGACAATGGAGTATGGGCTGGAGACGGGAGTGGAGAATGCAGTGCAGATGGAAGAGAGTGCGGAAACGAGTGGAGAAGTGTGTGGCATGGAGAGTGTACAGTAGAGAGTGGTATGGAAGGTGGAATGGAAATTCTGGCGGAGAGTGGAGTCGAAGTGGAACTGAGAGTGAAGTAGGAAGTGGAATGGAAAGTGGTGCCAAGTGGCTTGAATAGTTGAGTGGAAAATGCGCTTGATAGTGATAAGACTGGAGTGTCGAGCCTGGAGTGTGGAGAGCAAAGTGCAGTGGAGCGTGGAGAGTGTAAATAGGTTGAAAGTGGAATGGGGTCGAGTGGAAAGTGGATGGGAGTGGGGGAGTGGGTGTGGCAAGTGGAAAGTGGATTGCAAAGTGGACTGGAAAGTAGACTGGTTGGGACTTGGAGTGGACAGCGCGGTGTAAAGCGGATTGGACAGCGGCGTTAAGAGTGGATGCAGAACAGAACGTGGACTCTAGAGGACATAGAAATTGGAAGGAAGAGTGGAAAGTGGAATGCGGATTGAGTGGACAGAGCAATTTCGGAGTCCCGGACAGGTTTTAGGAGATGCTTTGCCGGCTCCGTCCAGAGGTGTATGTTTTTTGCTCCCATTCCCCCTCCCTCCTGCCGTTGTGCTCCAGTGCTTACGCCTGGCTAGCTTTCGTTGGCCTCGGCTTGCCCCTCAGGTGCAGATTATCTGCGGGAACAAATTCATTTGTAAGATAAATGCTCGGAGGAGCACACGCAGCAACGACATGCCAAGCTGCAATGACATACACCACTGCTGCTGAGTATGCCTTACAGTGTGCAGGAGATGATGAAGTACAAGTTCCACAACGACGAGGGATCCAGCATCTACTTCTCAAAGTCGAGGGCGTGCTTCGACTCTGGTTGGTTTGGCGGAAACTGCAAATCCCTGAAGGCCTCGCGCTGCAAATACGTGTAATATCGGTTGTATCAGTTGCAATAGCTACTGCTACAACTGCTTCTGCTTTACCACTACTCCTGCTGATGCTACCACCACCACACCACCACCACTACTATTATTATTACTGCTGCTGCTACTACTACTACCACCACTACCGCTACCGCTACCGCTACCACTACCACTACCACTACCACTACCACTACCACTACCACCAGTATTACCACTATTACCACTACTACCACTACTACCGGTACTACTACCATTACCACACTATTACCACTACTACTGTGGATGGAGGAAATCTTGCACTGCTTCTGTTCGTAGCCACGTTAGCTACACCCCGCCACCCCTTTAAAACGTTGTTCTCGGGACCCTGCTTTTTGGGTTTGTTCCAATGACACAAATCTGGCACCGCCCGGCCATGTCCGTAATCAATGTTAAGAAGTGGGGGGCGGGGTTGTTTCTGCAGGGCATCCTGAAGTGACAGTATCTAGGTGGTACAAGATTTCCTCCTTCCACAGCACCACTATCACCATTAACACCACTGCCATTAGCACTTCCAAAGCTACACCCGCTTGTGTGGTGACGCTATGGCGGGAGGCTCGTTCAGGGTGGTGGTGCTGGTGCTGGCGGTGGTGACGGTGGTGGCAGGGGGTGAAGGCGGGGCGGGAGGTGGTGGCGGCAGTGGCGTTGGCGGTGGTGATGGCAGACCATGGCAGACCTCATTAGGGCAATAATCAGAGTTCCCCCAGCAATAAGATCAGGCATGGGACAGGTTGATAACCTACTAGGTCGTGTCATCCCTAGGAAAATCATAGTTTACTTGTCATCAGACTTCGTAAGCCGTGTATTCTAGATAAGCACGCTTAAGAGAGGTTGTCATCGCATCGCTTACTGTATGCCTGCTGTCCAATTTGTGCAAGGAAGGCATATTTTTTTGGGTGACAGATATAGGTACAGCAATCGCGCTGAGGCCTGCAAAGAGCCAAAACAGCTGTAGCTAATATGAGGTATAATCCAAACTCCTTCAAGGGATTATAAAGGGGCATACTAGGAGTTTAGACCATGGTTCATATGAAGTTGAGGCCAGGCCGTAGCCTTAATCTGAAAAGCTTTGGCTGAGTCAGCTAAGTCGTTTTGCATCATTGCTTACCAAATGGAAATTATCCAAAGTTCTGGTCTTATGCTGCCAGACAGATTCAGCAGTGCAAGACTTCACTCGTTCAAAGTCTGCCTTTGATTGCATCCGCTACATACTAGCGTAGCTGCTCCTGTCTTTCCATCGGTAAATGAAACAAGATGTAGATCAGTACGACTTTCAGCACGAGATTACATTTTCGTAGCGTAGAACTAGACCGTTGCTTTTAACATCAACCCTCCAGTGTCATCCACTATGCTACTTCATAAAGCTCATAAGACTTCCTAGTGGTTAATAACGGCATAAGGGAATATCATCCCTATATAACCCCATATAGACTTCCCTTATTCCCTCGTAACCCCCAGTAAGAAGAGGCTAGGGATTCCCTGCTCAGAAGGTTGATGCGGACAAGGTCCTACGCCTTGATGAGGAATGGGTACTCCTGAGGACTGGCTGTGCCGGACATGTGGGGGTTTCCTCGAACTAGGGGTACCCTTAAAGGGTATGAAGGGGGGTTATAGGGTTTATGGGGAAATAGGGTTTAGAGGCTTAGAGAGCTAGGGGTTTCCCAAAATTAGAGCTACCTTCTTAGGGGTCCCCATATCGAAGAATATAAAAATTGTATTGGGTATCCCTATTTAAGGATTCTACCTATGCATCATAATGTCTAGGTGGCACTGAGCTACAGCGTTAGAACTTTACGATTTTGGGGGTTCCTCAATGTCAAACTAAACCCTATATTACCCCTTATAGTAGTTTCCATTTTCTTTTCCATTATCTCCATAAAACTCGTATACAATTAGTTACTAAGGGACAAGATCCAACTTTTAGTGGGAGGTTGCAGGGCAAGCAAGGTATGGGAGCTTTTCCTTTCTCGAAAGACGAACATACTACTGCGTACTATAGAAGGTGGTTTCATACAGTATATACTCACATGGAAACGAATACGGTATTCCGAATTCATAGCTTCCAATGCATGTTGCCATTGCGCCTGTTCGGGTCAGCTAGTTTTGCCTAAACCTTGAAAACACCACAACCCTAATGCGGCCACAATCCTGCCTGTACTTTTAAACAACCCAAAGCAAGTCCTTTCAGCAATGTTGATTCGAGAGCACCCAGGACTGGGGTGCCGCGGAAGCTTGTATCGAACTCCAACGACACCCAATAGCCCTTAACGGGTTGCATGTGAGTCCAGCAGTCCCTAATAGCAGGTTTTCCAAAAAGCCTCAAGACAAGGATGTTCAAAAATTCGCATGGCAAGCAAGAAGTGCATTGGCGAAGCAGCTACTCCAAGGCGATGCAAAGACGCTGGACTGAGTTGCCGGGTTTCAGGCTCAAGTTGTGGTACTTGGTGGGGCTTTGGCTATTTGCTGGCAGAGGCCCACAGGGTCTTCTTTAGCTTGCGCATGCTGACATTTAAGTTTACCTGGGCAGTACTTTGTGAAATGCAGCCTTCTATGCATCATAGCAGGTATGAACAGGATGGATATTGGACTCTTGCCAGAGTGCGATTGCACACCACCAAAATTAATGAGGTTATCCTAAAGTCTAAGAACCGATTCTCAGAACACGGTGTAGCAACAACATGGCCCCCCGATCTCCAGTTCCTGTAGCTCAGGCCATAAGTGCCTTTGATTGAATTATTGGTAGCATCTCCGCAAAGAAGTCACTCGAAGCATCCATGCTCCTGTTGCCGAGCAGCCGTCAGAAGAACGCAGATTGGCAAAAAAACTAGATTGTTGTTCAGGAACTTAGATGAAGTTGCTATGTTGGGGAAGCCCCATTATTTACTCTATATATATATATATGTATTATTGCAACTTAATTTAAGTTCCTTAACAGCAACCCAGAAAAGTTTCCGTTGAGGGGCTTAGGTTGCTAAAACCAGGCAGATGCAATTGGGATTGAAGTTGTTTGTGTTCCATCGTGATTCCAATGGCTTCCACTGATACGGATGTTGAAGTGGTTCTGGCTTTCCATGGTTTCCTGGGCGGTTTCCTATGTCTTTTGCATCACGTTCATTGCGTTTCCTTTTGTTTATCATCTTTTTCCTCGTATTCTTGATTTCATAGTAATTCGCAATATAGCATAAATTCGAAATCAACAACTCAAATGATAACACAAATGGAAAACATAACAACCATTACCAAGAAATTCCAATGTCAATGATAGCAGCAACGCAACGGGAAGACTACAAACACATTGAGAACAACAAACATGCATATGATCTTTATGAAAACAATTCAAACTCATATTAGCAGATGTCATAGGAACAAGAATGAGACAATGCAAACTCACAGGAATCTCGGATCCGAAGCGCAGGGTTCTGTGTTCAAGCAAGCTATCAGTAGGGTTTCACGGGAGGGCAAGCGCGCAGCCTGTATGCCTTAATCCTGGGTTACCTCCAAGGCGATGCCATGTGGGTGGAAGAGTCGGAGAAGCCAGAGCCTGCAGACTTCGTCGGCTCCTTTATCAACAGCACCTTCTCAAAAATCCAGTAGGCTTCGTTAGACTCTTTTGGATTCCATGTTAGATTGGCAAAGGGTCCTGAGAAGAGACATTTTTGCGCAATTGTGCTAGCCAGAATAAGCTCCAGACTGGCAATGCAGGAAGGATTGCTCAATGTGCATTTAACGGTAAGAATGCAAGATGTGTTTCTTCGGGTTTCGTGCTGAGGAACCCCCCCACTCCCCTGACATTAGCTATGCTCCTGCAGTATGAGTCTTGCTGCCTAAGAACTCACCCAGCAAAAATTGCCGCCTCAGAAGCCCCTTAGCACTCTACTAGTCTGGTGGTTTCCCAAAATGAGGGGTGCTTTATTCGGGATCCCCATAATAAGCACCATAGTATATTGGGGTCCCGTATTTATGGAAACAACCATCTCTTTGAAATAGCAATCTCCGATTTTTTTGCTGTCTCACGAAGTGCTTTATCGGCAAACTCCCCAAAGAGCGCACCTGCATGATTCATACACAACCTCAACGAAGCCATCCGTAAACTTGCCGGTTGCTGTAGATCTTGGGTTTCACCCCGAAGGGGGTTCAACAAAGGCGATGGCCAAATAGCCGCCTGCATGGAATCCTGGTGCCGTTTCCATGGAGACCGCGAAACTCAGGCTCCTAAGCGCAGTTAAGCAAGGCGTCCCTCATACATGGATTCTCCTCCAGCCTTTGAGTTCCTTTAAGTCATGGGTCTCTTGTCCCAAGCTTGCAGGTCTTCCTACAACCCCTAATACCTAAACCCTAAATCTCAAGCATGTTTGTTTGTCATTGTTATTCTTATGCAACCTCTGCACACCGGGCCGACCTCCCAGCAAATCGCAAGCTCTAGGCAGCCCTTGCTGCAATCTTTCAGCATGGTCAGTACCTCTAACCCCAATTACCTACAGCTTAATAGTAACTACTACCCTCTCATTGGCAGGTAGAACCCGTAAAGCTGTAGGTAATTGGGGTCACAGGTAAATTTCCTGCACCCTGATATCCTCTCACTTTGGCGGCGGCTTCCACTTCAACTGATGCTGCAAGAAAGCTGGCCCCTGAACACCCAACTCCCAGATCAGGGACCCTGAACAACGCAGTAATAAACACAGAGAAGCACGGAAGTTTTGATTTGCTTCCTCCATTGCTCTCTCTCTCTCTCTCTATGTATATATACACATATACCCCTGAGCCGCGGTCCAGGCGCTAAAGTTCTCACGCAAAGGGACATATATGGGCGACTGGCTGGCCACCGAGCCCTGGAATGTCCTTGAGGGCTTCTGGATCCTGGGGGTAAATAGGGATAATTGAAAAGAAACTGGAAACTAATATTCATAATATGTAGGGTTCTATAGCGGATATTTAGTGGGTATATAGGGACAATGGAAACTACTGTAGTATGTTGGGGTCATTCAGGGATAATGGAAAAGAAGATGGGAAATATTAGTTCGGGTATTGTAAGGGGATTCTGGGTGGGTGCTTACTAGGGTTTAATGAGGACTATTGTGGGCATAGAGTCGGGTCGCGGTATGGAGACCCTAAACCCTATACCCTACACGTGTGATCATGGGGGAGTCCGAGGGTTGCCCTCAAGGCAGATGATTGCTCCAAAGTTGGAGGTTTGGCAACCTCAAACCCTGAACCCTATCATTCTCGGGTAGTAGGCGACCACTTTACATATAAGGGCAGTCACCTACCAGCTTTTGGGAAATAGGGAATAAGGGAATATGATCCTTATATCCTTCCTATATGATGTATTTCCTTTTTCCCAACCCCCATATATACATAATTATAACATATATATATATACATGTATATACATATAAAATACAAACCCTAAACCCTAAGCCTAAACCCTAATATATATATATATACATATTTTCCCTTCTTTCCTACGAACCGTCGGGAAGTTTGTTGGGCTCCTTGCATCTTCACCGCGCATCAGTCCCCAGCTTGGCTCCGCATTGATCCCCCAAGCAGAGCCCGGCCCAACTTCTGTAATTGTAATAAAAGTAATAGTATTAGTAGTAATAGTAAAAATAGTAGTAATAGTAGTACTAATAATAGTAATAATAATGAAAATGGTAAAAATAACTGGTAACAATATTGAAACTAATATTGAAATTGATAGTCAATATGAATATTAACAGTAAAAGAAAACCAGAAATAGCAATTAGTGCTAGGGGAAGCATGACCCCATGCTTTGCCCCTCGAAGTGGTAATTTGCCTCGAAGCGCCTGGAAGCGCTCCCCCGTGACGGCCTTTACCAGGCACTTTATTCTTGTACGGCTTGGTCGTCACTGGGCGTCTTTCCCCACGCTTGAACCCTTGCTGGTTGGCCTGAAGCCAAGAAGTTCTGAAGTCCGAAATGCTGTAGCTTTCCTTATTGTAGTACTCTCGGCCATCTCTACGCAGTAATCCCTGCCGTCCCTTCCCCCAACCCCCCCTGTGCAGCCAAGGAGAATGATGGTACCGGGATGGTCTGGAAGAAGGGTAAACAGACCATGTGGTGGGGGCGCCTGCCAGCAAATGGAAAGGACTGAGGCGAACAATGGGAACTCGAATAGTTCTAGTGCTCTGAAAGATGAGGCGCCCCTGTAAAATGGGAACTCCGAGATGAAATGCACTGTCCTGTGGTCAGAAAGTTTTGGGAGCTTTGAAACTGTGGGCCCCATGATGTTTACATACAGTACTGGGTAGGTTCAGGGGCAAAGTTCAGGTTGGAAGTTAAAGGCCGGCATCCTGAATCCTACGCTGCATTTGATGTCAGCTGTAGATTTCAAAGCGCATGAAACCGTATGAGAGCGCGGGAACCACATAAATGAGCACGCGTAAAGCATCGTGAAGCTGTGTTATAGAACCCGCTCCTCGAGGAGATTGCGCAAAAGCACATCCTGACAACCGAGTGGTTGACTTCCGAAGGCGCTTATCGACAAGAAAGGGTTCATCTCATCTCAGAAATACAGTAGATAGAAATGGTTTTGGAGCAATGCAATCCTGGGCGCTGACTGCGCTCAGACAACGTGTTCTTCTGGTTCAGTGTCGTCTTTTTGCGAAGGCCAGCATTGAGGTTGTAGGGTGAAGGGGTTGTTGAAAGTGTTGAGGAGCCAAAAGCTGCCTAGGACCGTCACTTCAACACTCTGGCTTTCTGTGCCCTCCATGCCATCGATTGACTTAGCCTTCTACCCCGCGGCGCTGCATGCTCAAGCCCATGCTGACGTTTGCAGCATTCTTGGTTCTAAGCTTTTGAAGCCGAAAACTGTACAAAATTAGGCCATATTCCAAAGGAACCCATGGTACCCATCTCTGTAAAGCTTAGGAACCCAGGCCCTGAACCAAATCACGCGCCAAAATCTTCAAAGTTCCAATGTATAATTAAGCATGAGTGACAATCCTTGTTATCATGACCATGATCTACCCTCGCTATGGCCCATACTTCGAGTATGATGGTAACTGTTGTTGTGAATAGTATGACATCAAGGTTTCTTGTTAGGGGCTAGCGCCGCCGATTTTTGCGCGGATAATTCAACTGCACGGCACGGAAAGATTTTGACGTTGGCTCTGAGAGCGCCGCTGGCGACAGTAAACGAACCACCAACCCAACAGCTTTGCTGTGTCCCTGTCAAAAGGGTTCTTGCTCGCGTCGTTTCCTTTGCCGGGCTGCACGCATGGCATGGGCAGGTGACATCGTGCAACCGGAGGGCTCAAAGCTCAAATTCATGTCTGGCCACACAGTGACTTTGGGGCTGGACGGCAGCTCGGCCTGAAAGGAGGCTGAAGAGGAGAATGAAAGCGTTGGTGAGTGTTTCTCAGGAGATCACAGCGCCGTGCCGGAACCAGTTTTGCAGGGACCGTGCAAAACCTTCAGGCAATAGCGGCCCGCAAAAGTTTTGGTGTAAGGGGCGGTGACTAGTTCCCCACATTTTGCGGCTCTCAATACGCCAAAGGAGACGGGGATGACACGGTAGAATTGACGAGCTTGCATTCTTGAGGCTTGACCAGTCTGGTTGAACGGTGAGAGTGTCTAGCGTGTGGGAACAAAATTGTTCACCCTCGTCACATTTTCAGCTGCCTAGGTCCCAGGTGATTGATTGCGGGGCAGTAGACAAAACAACGTGCGCTGCTCCCATCTCTTCTTGTAGCAGATGCACATCAACATTGGTGTGTTTTCAGTATGTCTGGAGTTCATGTGTTGGATTATGGGGCCAAAGGCTTGACCCAGAAGAGTCGGTCCTCACAAAGCCGAGGTACCGTTGTGAAACTTGACACACGCCCTCGGATGGTGCTTGCGGAGTTCGATGCCGACAAGAAGGCCGGGTCATATGCTTGGTGTTACCACGGCGTGGATTTCAAGATTTCCATGCATCCGGGGCACCAAGTAAGGTACTTATGGAAAGCTCCGATTAACTAGCCCAAACCAGCGTTCTTGGGCCCTGACCGCTCAAAGGAAATTGTCTGGCGCCGGCTGTTGCGAAACGACCTCAAGCTCATCCGTTGGTACGGTACCACTAGTTTGAACTGATGGGAGCGTGTGCTGGATGCGAAAGAGTAAGCTCAAGCCATCCGCACTGTCAGTGTGCAAAGGTGTTTCTTGCAAATGCAGGAACCTCAAAAAATGCCTTGACTGCTTGGGCAATCGCGTTCCAATCTACAATGCAATGGCAGAACTGGGCGAGAATGAAAAAGGCCACCGCCAGAGGAGCAGTGTATTGCTACATTAGTGGCAGTCAATGTTACCAACCACTACATCTGTTCTTGGGCGAACATGACTTTGCTGAAAAACGAAGAAATATTGCAAAATGACAGGGTACATAATGAACAACGGAAACCCCAAGCCCTTGTCCATCCATTGGCTAGGTAAGAATTTTTACCGCAGCTCACATGACCTATCTGGAATTCTGAATGGCTTCATAGAAGAGAATTTACGTGATAGGATTTTAGAACCAAATAGTCTCGCAGGATATTCATTCATGATATGCATATGTTGAAAAATCGCATTATACGCCTATCATTGCCGCAAGAGTCGTGCGGGAATTGGAGCGGCGATTCATTATCCCAATTACGCAATTTTATTTTCATAACACATTTTTTTTTTTATCATAAATACGTATCATACTGACAGGAATGATGACATTAATATCGCACTCTATTTCATAATAGGAGACACCTCTGGAATCTATTATTATTCGCGGCAATCCGGGCCCCGCCCCGCCTTAAATTTATTACGTATTTAAAAGTAAATAGACCCTTAGAAATTATCTAAATAAATTAAATAGAATTTTTTGAATTTTATTGCAGGCTTATTTGATTGATATTTCAATATCTTAAATAAGGTAGATAATTTCTTAGGGCGCGTCTTCGGCGCAGCAGGGCAGGCTATTTAATCTAAGAGAGGAAATAGAATGAATCTGGATTTCGGCATTATTTTTCTTAGATAAAATAATATAGTTATAAATAGATTTAGAATTGGCTTATATTATTGATTATTTTAATCCCCTCTATTTAATAAAATATTTTATTATTTCGAATACCGCGATTTCATATCTAATATGAAATTACTCTTGATTTTTAATAGATATAATATAGAATATTAATATGCATCCGAAAGATTTTGTTTATGATTAATTAGTTCTGGAAGATATTTTATTAGAAAATTTCGTAAATTTCCTAATACATGAATATTTCTTTCTAAAAATAAATGATGCATAGGAATAGAAATATATTTTTTAAAGAAAAATGAAATATATTTATGAAATTAATATTCGTATACTAGATATTGATATATTATATTGAATTGAAGAGATTCTATTTATTTCAGATTAAGATAAAATGAATATATATAGAATATAAATTTCATTTTATATGATAATAATATATAGTATAAACTTGAATTTTTTTTCTTCGATTCGTTTTCGAAATAGGCCTTTCTAAAATCTCCGAAGATTTGAGACGGGCGTCGCGAACAACAATTTTTATAGATTTTTGATCATACGACGATTAACCAAAATCTTTGAGAGATTATTGATTGATCGTATTTGTCTATAGAAATTTATACGTTCTCTCTCGAACCGCCGCGCAGAGAGATAAGATTATTGAATCGAAAATTGGATTGTAAAGGAAGGTTCACGCGGCCCGAAATCTCTCGAGATTTCGAGTTATTTCTGTCTTTTCGATTCTCTGCGCGGCGATTCGGTCTAGATCCCGGGCGGAGATCTAAAATCTTTCAGAATCTATTAGGTTGGTCATTTTTGATCACGCGCGGTCTTATATATTGATTATTCGTCCGGATTTACGTACGATTTCATATATTCTGCGTAGTTTATCTCTCTTTGGTTGTTGGCACGGTTGGTCGGAGGAGCGCGTAGTCCTCAAGACGAAAGAAAAAATAAACAGAATTTATAGATTGATCGTATCTATTCATAGAGATTGACGTATTTCCCCGAATAATCGCGCAGATAATCTAATAGAGATAAATGAAGCGTTCAGATCGGGTTGGATGTAGGGGCCGCGCGATCAAAATCTCCTTAGATTTCGGCTATTCAGAAATTTTCAGAATCTCTTTGTTATGTGCGGTCTTAAAATATTAATAGATCATCGGAATTCATGTGCGATCTTATCTATTATTTGGTTATCGGATTTCTCATTATAGATTTTCTCAAATAATGATTTTTCTCTCTTATAAATAGCGGGACAATTCTAATTCTATTAATTTTTATGATTTTATTCTATTCATCATTTGTTACGATCTCTTAAATCAATTTTCTAAAATATTATGGATTTTTGAGATTTACCAAATATGATAGATCTATAGATATTCCTTTCTTCGTAATATTATTTTTCTAAGAATATTTCCGATCTTCTATAAATCATTTTTCTAAAATATCCGGAATATTTCCTAGGTCATGATTGTCGAAATATCTCGGATATTTTGGAAGTCCGGGTCCGTTTTAATTTGGAAAATCGATTTGGGATATGGAAGGAATGGTCGGGAGCGGCGAGAGCGGTCGATGGTCGGTTGCGATATAGGCAATGATGAAATGACGAGATAATAGATTCAGAGAAATTTGAATTGCGTCGGCACGTAATTCTCTTGGAGTCTTTGGCGAAGGGGGGCAGCGATCCGGAGCAATATTGATAGCGATCGATAATATTGATGACGGAAGAAATTCTAATGATAGGCGTAGATCGGTCGCAATAGATGACGGAGAGATTGTAGAGCAATGATAATTGAATTTTGAGATTTTTCTATTCAAAGATTGAATAATATTTTCGTTTTTTGATATCTAAAAATATGATCTTTCAAAATCATATTCTCGTGCAGAATATCTTGAATTTTTTGAAGATAATCGCGTTCTCATGCGGAGCATCTTGATAATATTGAAGAAAATCACGTTCTCATGGCGAATATCTTCAGAATATTGAAGAAAATCGCGCTCTCGTAGGGATCATCGTGAAAATTTTGAAGAAAATCATATTCTCATGAGAGATATCTTCAAATCAGTGAAGAAAATCACGTTCCTATACGATATATCCTGAAAATTGGGAATATAATTGCGTGCTCATATAGATAATCGTTATTTCTTCATGAAAAATCGCATTCTCGTGCGGAACGTCCTACAAAATTTGATGAGAATTACGTTCTTTTAAAGAATATTCTCAAAATTTAGAAGAAAATCGCGTTTCTATATAGATCATAATCTTTCAAAGATCATCGATAATTCATCTATTTTCGTGCGGATCATCCTCGAAATTCGATCGATTTTTCATTATATATATGTATGAATATATATTTTTCTTATGATTAGATAAAAAGATTCTAATCATGAAAATAGATTTTGAAAGATGAATAATTCTTTCTCTCTCATATCTCAAATATCCGCTCTTATAATTAGATTAATCGTCTTTGATTTTTCCAATTCTCTGAATTTGCGATCAAATTCTTTTTTTTATCATATTTCAATTTCTCCGTCTTTGCGAATAGATTCTTTCTTTCTTATTTTCAAATTCTCTATTTTTGAGATTAGATTATTTATTTCTTATTTTATAAATTCCTTATTATTGAAAATAGATTCTTTTTTCTTATCTTTCAAATTCTCGATTTCATATTTAGATTCTTTTCCTCTTATATTTCAAAATTCCCCGATATTATAGATAAATTAATTATCTTCATCTTGAATAATTTAGATTTTCATATTTTAGAATCTTTCTCTCTTCTTCTTCGAAATTCTCTATTCTTTATAGATAGATTGATTATCCCTTATCTCTCAAATTCTATATTTTCATATTTAGATTCTTTTCCTCTTATTGCGGTAGGACGAAAGTTCGACCCATAATTTTGATTTATGTCAGGCCTCCGCCACCAGCAAACCCCTCCTCCCCCATAGATTCCTCCACGAATATTTTGGGGACTCCGCTGGTAGCTTAAAGTAGTATTAATTTAATTTTTTCCGTAATATGGCTCACTTTCTGTACTCTTTTTCGGCATGTGGAGTCTCCNNACAAGCCCCGAGGCCCGAGTAGGTCAAAACTTTATTCCTGGCGATGCCTCACGGTGACCTAAAATGAATAACTGGACGGCATGCTGACGGCTACAGCCCTTTCTCCTCTAAGGATTCCATATGTGTCCTCCATGCCAGCATGCCATCAGGCATCTTATAGCGTGCCAGGCGCGCGTTGGTGTCCGTCTTGCTGGAGCTGGCAGCTGCCTATGATGTTGGCCTGCAGCTGACGCGTGAGTCGTCCGATGACGCAATCACGAGGGCCTTCAGATGCGTTTCTGCGAAGGTACACCCCGACAAGGGTGGGTCGGCAGCAGACGCTCAGCGCCTGAACGCTACGCGGGACCAGTGGCGGGCCGCGGGAAGGCAGCCGAAGCCCAAAGGTCGCCCGGCTCAGCGTGCCCAACAGGGGCAAGAAAACGTTGCGGTCTCCAGTGGCGACGTCCGTGTGCAATCTGTGTCTGTCCTCCTGACCTAGCAGAGCTGGCCAGCAACAGATGGTGCAGCCGTGCGGCAAAGATTCTGCGCCTTTATCGCAAACCATATGGCGCAATCGACGGTGAAGCACTGGGTAGCCGCAATGGAGGCAAACGCCAGCGGGACTGTGCACGTGCACTTGATGCTGCAGGACACTCGTGCCCAGGACTGCGGGTCCAATGGCTTCATATTTGAAGGCAAATGTCCGAATGCCAGCACGCAGGACTACCTTGGAGAAGGGCTTTGCCGAAAGAAGTTGCAGCAGTCTATAGACAGGGGCATGTTCTATGCGTGGGTGGACAAGATTGGCATCCATCGTCTACCTGATGGTGGGCTGGGCGTCTCAGGAAACTACGAGCCGTGCTGGACCAAGGCCAAGCTCTCCTACCAAATCCTCGGCAAATGGCCAGAGGCGCTGCGGAAGCAGCGCAAGCTGACGTCGGACAAGTACGAGGAATACTTATACCTCCCACGGGACGGCGTCCTGGCCCGGAAACGCAACCTGGATGCTGTTTGTAAGCATGAAGTAGAGGTTGCGGAGGCGGCT